TTCCAGTGATATATGTAAAAACAAAGTACATGAATCAAAGGCAGGCAAAACTATGCCATTCAAAGACAAGGTACATAAATCCTAGACAGGCAAAACTATTCCTTGCAAGATCAGAACACAGGAACAGTTTGACACTTGGGTATATAAATTTCACGGTCCTTGACACCGAGAGGTCTGTTACCTGAATGCAGTGTTGCTCTCACAGTGATTGTATCAACTTGAACCACTTTTAAAAGCAAAAAAAAATGTCCCATGAGATCACTTTTTTACACCTGCTCTCCTTGTCTCTGAGCCACTTGGAGAAGTGAGTCCTTAATTGCTGGCCTGTTGTCATAGCTCTAATCTCTCTGACCTCAACAAACATTCATCTTCCTCAATTTCTCTGGACTGCACTTCTGGCAGGTTCCCATGGGAATGGCCTTCACCATTCTCCTGGGAACCATCAGAAGATTCCAAAACATTTCTGTCAGGGGATTCCAAAACATTTCTCTCTGGGCCCTCTGAATCTCTCCCAGCATCCCCAGCCTCATCTTCTGAACACTCAGAATCTGACCAGGCCACAATAGGTTTTACAGCAGAGCTTTCCAAACATTTCACATTGGTGACATTTTTCAGACATGCATCATTTTGTAACACAGTAATTTGGTTTTACTAAAGGACCAGAGGTTAAACCAACCTCTTATAAGACACACATGCATACATTGTAATAACGAAATGCATGGGAATACAACATATATTATGAGAACATAGGTTGGAAAGCTCTGTTTTAGATATACTGCCGGGTGTTTTATATTCCCTGGGATGTTATATATGTTATGGAGTAACATGATGTCTTTGACTACCTGTTTGACAGTTTAAAAAAATTATAATTGATTAGTATGAATTCCAAAGGACATGTCATATTGTGTATTTTAATATGTATTTTATAGAAGTGTGTAGCTTTTATAGAGGTACGTTCTAATATGTGTATTTATGGTGTTTTTGCAGTGTTTATGTGTTTTAATTATTCTATAACCTGCCCCGAGAAATGAAATAATAATAATAATAATAATAATAATAATTATTATTATTATTATTATTATATTGCTGCTTTAGCTGATACTTTATTATAAGGAGAGTACAAAACAAACCTGTCCTGTTTATTCCACCATCAAAATATCCTACTAGTGCCAACAAATCTTAGGGTCGAAGTGCCCTTTCCAGAGTTTTGACAATAAATATCCCTCATAGAACAGATGTATTCCTTCTTTCATCATATACCTGATTTTAAATGTTAATTAGAACAGCATGAGGTCTTTCTATTTTTATCACTGCCTTCAGTCTTACATCTTAAATTTTATCAGTAGTTATAATTAGCTGAAAAATTGCTGTATCAGAACTGGCCCTGTCCTAAACAGACCCATTTTGCATGTCCAATCCCAACTGTCACTGCAAAATAATTGTGAATTTTTAGCACAACACTGGCATAATTTCATGATGTATAGAAGAGTAAAGGCAGAAGACAGCTGCAAAGTGACATGATGGACAGGCAGTTATTACTGTAGGAGGGAGAAGAGAGGAAAACTGACAGAAACACCAGAAACGTGTTCCCAGTGAATTTCTGCCACATCCCACATTTAGTTAGCAGGGAATGGAATTAGCTCACTGATATACATTGTATTGGGAACTCATTTTGTACCATTCAAATGATTATTAGTAACCCTTTGTCATGAACTCTGTTCTGAAAAGTGAAAAGAAACCAGAACTTCTGATAGAGGAAACGAGAAAATTAGTTCTAGTAATGACGCATTTTTGAACCATATTCTATAGAACTATAGTTTTAAAGTAATTCATTACCAGAATTACTTTTTTCTCCTTCCACTACATTTTAAAGTCTGGTAATGTTGTTCTATTTTAAATTTAGGGTCTAAATACTCTTAAATCAACAGATCTTGGAGGCTAAGCAGGATCTACCCTTGTTAGTACTTGGATTGAAAACCCCAACACATACTAGGTGCTATAGACTATATTTCAGAAGATGGAACTACCAGAACCCCCTCTGAGTATTCCTTGACTAAAGAAACTCTATGAAACTCCTATACCTATATACTCAAGAGTAAGCCTATTGAAGTCAGGGCGCACCCAGCACCTCAATCAGTGGCTGAGACTGGATGAGAAACTCCCTCCTAGGCACACAGAAGAATGGACGACCTGGAAGGTGCTAAACAGGTTGCACTCTGGCACCACAAGATGAAGAGCTAACCTTATGAAATGGGGCTACAAAGTGGAGTGTGGTGAATAACAAACCACAGATCATCTACTACAATGCAACCTGAGCCCTGCCACATGCACAATGGGCAACCTTATCACAGCGACACCAGAGGCACTCCAAGCGGCCAGCTTCTGGTCAAAGAACATTTAGCATAATGCCAAGTTCTTTGTAAAACTTTGTTTGTGTTTTAAAATGCATTTTAACTTTACCCTCAACTCGCTTCTGACACGATAAGTAAATAAATTGTTGATAGGAACAGATTTTGCAAACCAAGTATGTTTTCATTGCGTATTGAAGATCAAATCTCCTTAGGGATAGCTCAGAACAATATATTGTTCCTGAGAGAACCCATCAGAGACACTTACTACAGCTACAGTAAGAATTGCAGGTAAACTTAGGAGAAATCCTCCAGGGATGGCAGATAGTCTTACCATCCTTGATACTAAAATACCACAGTATTTCTACTCTATGATCTCTGGTTCCACTACACCAGGGGTCCTCAAACTAAGGCCCGGGGGCCGAATATGGCCCTCCAAGGTAATTTACCCGGCCCTTGCTCAGGGTCAATATAAATCTGAAACGACTTGAAAGAACACAACAACAATAACAATCCTATCTCATCAGCCAAGAACAGGCCCACACTTCCCATTGAAATACTAATAAGTTTATATTTGTTAAAATTGTTCTTCATTTTAATTATTGCATTGTTTTAAAGTGTTTTTTGCACTACAAATAAGATATGTGAAGTGTACATAGGAATGCATTCATATTTTTTTTCAAATTATAATCTGGCCCTCCAACAGTTTGACGGATCGTGACCTGGCCCTCTATTTAAAACATTTGAGGACCCCTGCACTACGCCATAGTACTTCTGTAGGACCAAGCTCTCAATCTTAGTGTGAGAGCAACTAAAAAGGCATACTAAATCAAAGAAGCGGTCTTTTAAAATAGCTTATTAAGATGAACAAGAGGTTTGTCCTTCCCAAGTGATCTCAAGATGTCATGCTCCAAACCACTGAGACTACAAAACACCAAAATTCAGTCTCAACGTATTTTCAGGCATCATCATTTTCTTGAACCAAACCATGGTGTCACCATGTCCAAAGAATAGAGACACCTGGCAGAGTTTATATTCTAATTTTGCCAATATATTTGCACCATCTGTTGCCCAGGTGTGACTCATAGAAGCAGTAGAAACAGATGGAGAAATGAGGAAGAGGAAGCCATTTGGACACACAGTTCTTATCCCATCAAGAAATCTGTGAAAACAAGGTCGACTGGCTAGTAAATTATGATCATGGCATATGGAAGTATGTCAACAGTGATAGTTTTCAATGTAGCTGTGCCTGGCACATCACTACTTGAAAGAAAAATACATTTTTGAACAAAATTCAAAGAGATCACATTTTAGGCACAAGGTCATACTTATCATGAAATTGTCCTTTGAAGGAGGCTGAAACAGGATGGACACTGTTTCCCTTCAGGACACACTTTGTTCCTCACCCTCATCCCAATTTGTTGAGATGTCTATGCCCACACAACCTCTAAACTATATTTTTAACCAGTTAGTATCAATGTTTGTCTATAATGTTCCCAGTAATCTCTCCTTCCCTGTTGCCTGTTTTAGACTTTTGTATAGTTTTTTACCTTGGATTTGTACTTTCTCTAGAGACCATATCTTTCATTCATCTTTGGAAATGTTTTACGGCAACAGTATGATAGCTGGGACCCTACTTGCGCAGCGTGGGTCAGAATTAATGAAGGGAAGACGTGCGCGAGACAGTGAAGCAAGTGCGACAGAGATAGTTTGCCAGAAAGGGGGGGGGGCAGAAAGAGGGGGGACAACAAACAGCCAAGCATCGTGCTTAAGGCAAGTAATGTTAGAGTTATTTACTGTTAAATGATAAACAACGGCTTACGAAGACAGTAAATGGGATAGAAATGTTTCCTCTTCCCCTTTCTCCCAAACAATATTCCAAGGACTCTGATGCAGCTGTGTCTCTCACTTGCTGCGCTCTCTCGCACACGTTTTCCCCTCATTAATTCAGACCCGTGTTGTGCAACTACCTTAGGGTCCCAGCTATCATACTTTGGCCATGTTTTACTATAGAAACTCGTATTTTTACAGTCTTATGCAGTTTTTATGTTTATAGTCATGGCAGATAGTACAATCATGGTACTACATATATTACAGTTTCCATATTTGCATGGGATGAGTTCTTGAATTTGTCATGGAAACAGGAAACCATGGATAATAACAAATCCTATCAAAATACATGACTTTTGCTCGATGTTACTAAGGAGTAGTGCAAGAAGACCTGGAAACTTCCTGGAAAGGTATCCTATGGAATAATTTTCTAGATCCTCCAGCACAACTCTATAGTAGGTGTAAGTGTACCATAGAATCACCCAATGGACCTATAAGATTCTTACAGAGGACATATTTTGTTGGATACATGCAGGGAAAAATCATGGGTACCAGACCGATAGGTACAGGGATCATACTCTATATCCAAATAACTAGTTAATTTAAATATTTGTGTGCTGAGCATTTAGCTTACTCCCTCATCACATTGGGGATGGCCAGCCTAGCTTTGTAGGAAGCAATCACTGACGTTAAAAAGTGTAACTCACAATTTCACATATTTAGAACTTTAAAACTCCTTAAGAAGACTAACTGGTGCTTTCTTGTCAATATCTTCTGTTTTGTTTCTTAATATATTCCCTTGTTTTTCTGTATTCTCCACAGGCTAAAAGATGAGGTGCACTGGGACCCTTACTGAAAAAGTGAAGTATCAAGAAGAAAGAACATCATAAGTAAATAAAGCTCATTCATTAATGTGGAAAATTACTTTTTCTAAATTGGTGCTTCTGTACATCTAGGAGCACTTTCCCCCTGCTCTCTCATGAGCTAAAACAAATCCCATCATAACATATAGCAAAACTCATATTTCCCAGCATGGCTTCTACCCATTTCACATAACTGCTGCAATATATAGAAAGCTTATAGTAACAACACAATGACCTTGTCTTTCAAGAAACATGCCTAACATTATTTGTATCTATTTTGCATCTGTTGTATATGCTGTTGTGTAAGCACAATGGCCATTACATTATTTTGAAGTACCACTACTTCCTGCATTAAAGTAAATTGTAAAATATGAGCAGCAGTTACCTGCTGTCACTTAATGAATGAGATAGGTTAGTTGCATGTTAGAAACAGCATAATAGCTTTACAAAAACAATATAGACTGGGGGAGAAATGTGCAATGTCTTATTAAGGAAGATCTGCTGTTGTCTGTTCTAATGGCATGTGATTGTGCTTCTGATTGAATAAGCTATACCATCCTATTCTATCTTTGAAATCCTTTTAAAAGAATGTGGTACAAAACAGAATTGTTACCACCATAATCTGAGCACACACTGTTACTTTACAAAGGTCTTTAAAGTGCAAGCCACTTACAGCATCCTAGGGCTCTTTTTGTGACCCTTGACCCCTCCAGACTTGAATGCCCTTATTCTGCCAATCCAAATCACAGGGTGAATTGCCTCACCTAGAAATCTCCAGGGCTGGCGATCCACTTTTCAACTGGGTTGCAAACCTCCCTGCATGAGTTCAATTGACTTGCTTTGAGTGATTCCCATATCACAGTTCCTTGACAGCTGGAACAAAAGCAAAGGATCTTACATTTAGTTATTGGGTGTATGCTTGACTGTTGAGTCTACTGTACCTTCTTCAAAAAGAGACCAAGGGTGCATCTGCACTATGGAATTACAGGAGTTTGGCACCACTTTAACTGCCATGGCTTAATGCTATAGAATAGGAGCTCTTGATGGCGTAATGAATTAAACCTTTGTGCTGGCAGGACTGCTGACCTGCAGGTCAATGGTTCGAATCCGGGGAGAGCGGGTTGAGCTCCTTCTGTCTGCTCTAGCTCCCCATGCGGGGACATGAGAGAAGCTTCCCACAAGGATGGTAAAACATCAAACATCCGGGTGTCCCCTGGGCAATGTCCTTGCAGACAGCCATTTCTCTCACACCAGAAGCAACTTGCAGTTTCTGAAGTTGCTCCTGACATGACAAAAATGCTATAGAATCATGTGAGATGCAGACTTTAACTTTCTTTGTCAAAGAGTGTAGGAACTTCACCCAGCAACAAATGGCAGGATCCCATAGCAGCGAGCCATAGAAGTTAAAATCCTGTCATATCAAATTAATTATATGCAATATAAGCTCCTTATCTTTTTACAGGTACATTTTACAAAATGAGATTAAAGCCATGGATTGTTAATTTGTTTCTTTGTTTTGGATCTGGCATTCTTCTTCTTTCTCCTTCTGAATTTGGTAAACAACAACCACAATAGTTAGCCTTTAGGGACTGCAGCTCCCAGAAGGGAAACTTTTACCTTGCTGACTGGGGAATTCCAAAAGCTGTAGTCTAAAAAAGTAAGTCTTTCAAACTCACTCCATTTGTGCACACCCTCTAATGTCCCACCCTATCTCTGAGTCCAGAGCAGGTAAACCTTCATTACTTACATTGCCTTCCCTCTTCCCAACTCCAGGGCTATGACAACTTCTGGATCAGTGGTTACAGAGGTTACTTTCTATTCTCTTGTTGCTCTACACCTTGCTGGATGTCACTGCCCACTTTGCCCTCTTTCTAAACCTATTAACCTGGCGCCAATATTGGTCTTTAACAATACACAATCTTTTTTGTGTGTTTTTGTCCTTTTATTGTAACTATATAACCCATATTTAATGTTAATCTCATTAATATTAACAACATTTATTTTCAGTATAGAGTGCAACTTTAACTGCAGTTTTTCTTTTATTTATTTTTTTATCTGACAGTGCTATTTTCATTATCTTTTTGGGTATTGTTTTAATAAATTCTATTTTTTGTTGCAACCTACATTATAAAATGAAAAGTACTATTCCAAGTAAGTGTAAACATCTATTAAGTAGCATGAAAAAACAGCCCCTTCAACTATCCAACATTAATGTATCTCTTCTGCTGTTTCTAAACAGATGCAGTTCTAACACCTACATTTGCTCATATCAAAGACACTGTCAATTTTTGCATTCACAGTCTGTTTCCCTTTTTGTTTTGTTAGTGTTGTCCCTTGTATATGCTAATTATTGCAGCCCTCTGCCAACATGTGTTGACAATATCCAGGCACATTCTCTTTCAAAGGTAAATGTCAAGAACTAATTTCAATGAAGAATGGCTTTTCACAGTCTGAATATTCCAATGAGTAATGAATAAGGACTTTTTCAGATTTTCTAAAATGTCTAATAACATATATAGCCCCTAAAACAAGTGTAAAGTAACTATATTCTATACACATGTATATATTTCAGTCTCCCTCTCCTTCAGCCATATATATGCAAAGATAAATTTAGAGACAGAATGTCCCATTTGTGGGAGAAACATGCTTGTCAGAAGTTTGTTATACGTAAAATCTGCAAATCAAAACACCCCTCGTGTAGCAGCCACTTCATGAGTATCAACAAACACAGCAGATGATCTATCCTATCACATATAAGTCAACCTCATGTATAACTGTAGGGATGGTTGTGTTGAAAGGCAGGTCATTCAAGATAACTGTAAGATGCTGATAGATTCTATCTTGTAAACACAAATAATTAGTTCTGTCGTTTTATTATAAATTATTATTATTATTATTATTATTATTATTATTATTATTATTATCCTGCCACCATCTCCCCAAAGGGACTCGGGGCAGCTTACAAAGCACTCCAGGGTGCACATATAACTTACAACAGGTAAAAATGGTACAAAAGTATAAAATAAGTCACATAAAATTATAACAACCCCCAACAACACATGTAGCATAAAATCAAAATAATACAAATACAATTTCAAAACAACAATAGATAAAACTAACTGCTGTCAATTCACAAGGTGCCAGGTATCAGTTTCATATGGGCCCAATCCACCTACTCTAGGTCAAAGGCCTATCTGAACATCCATGTTTTCTGGCTGGAATGGAAGGATTGAAGAGAGGGAGCTAATCTCATCTCTTTGGGGGGGGGTTCCAGAGCTGGGGGGGGCACCACAGAGAAGGCCCTCTCTCTCGCCCCCACCAATTGCTCTTGAGACAATGGTGGGACTGAGAAAAGGGCCTCTCCTGTCGATCTTGGAGTCTGTGCGGGTTCATAGAAAGATTTATTGTGGTTAATTGTCTGCTCATCATCCATGACTTATTTTTCAAAGATCTGATTAACAAACCTCTTCCAACCCAAAAATAAATCTCACTTTTCCTATACAAAAACTTGTAGAACTACTTCCCTCCTCTCTTTTTCTCATCTTCTCACCTTTATCTCATTGAAAAGGAAACTCAATTACTCTCTAAGTACACAATCAAACAAAACTTTACAAGCTCCATTTTACTAGCTTCTCCATTTACTAGCTTCTTCTAGCTTAGTAGGAAGACCATCCGCTCACTACATCCCTCCTCCTTCTCCTGTACCACTTTAATTTGAGAATACTGGGAATGTGGACAGCTCCTACCACAGAGACATTTTTTTCTTATATTGTTCCCAGGTTGATTGGGTTCCAGAGAACTATTTCTGGATCACTTGCCTTTCAGCCATTGATGAAAAATCTGAACTGCCTCCATTCTGAAGACCCATGAAAGAAGGAAACTTTCTCTTGGTAATTTGAAAATAAGGAATTGGACAACAATCTTCCTCATTTCTTAATTTAAAAATTGCTTTCTTAGAAGAAGACATCACTGATTTAAAGACTATAATTCTACACTCAAAGCATTAAATGGGGCCTTTTCTCCTTGATTCCTCTGCCTTATTGTGTCCCACTTTACTTCCACCCTCAAAAATACTCTTCTCCTGTTACTCACACAAGATCCTCTTCCCACCTTAATTTATCTTCACATTTGGAAACATAAAATGTTCAGGTATTTCTTGCATAATTTTCTGTGTGTCTACTGAAGCCAATAGAGGGACAATTAGGATTCCCTAGTAGGTTTAATCTTTGTGGGGTCTCTTTCGGTTTTCTAGACTGACATGTCTTCCTCTGCCTGTCTTAGTCATGTAGCATGTGCTGCCAGAACCCCACTCTTTACCCTTTCCATAAATGTAATCTTACTCATCACTGAAGAGGATATTTTGATTCTGTTTCCATGCAGCTTCTATGTCAGCTAGTATTTAAACCTCAAAATATACTTCAGATCTTTGCTACTTATCTCCTTCTACATCAACTATCCCAAGATATCCCCAAACCGGACCAGCAACTTTTTTGTCTTTCCCCCTAAGTTCTCCCTTAAAATGCAGGCTTTGTGTGCCTCAAATCCTGCAACCCCCCACCCCAAACTTTCCCCAAATACTAAAAGGAAAAAATGGTCACCAATTGCTGAAAATGGTGGCCAAAAGTCACTAGTGTGAATCACCGGATAAGTACTACGAGGTAAAATGCCCTCCCATCCACAGACACACACCTTTTGTGCAGTTCCCACCACTGCTTTAGTTATTAGACAACCTTATCTCTAGAACCCCAGGAGCTACATTTTTTGTTGACTTGGATAGAGTCTCAGACCAGCCCCAGAACTGGGCTACTTGAAGTCAGTTTGATTGGAACTTTCACATTTCAGATTTTTGGCAGGTTTATAGTGAGAATTTCTTATCTGAACCACTTCTACATCTTCATGGGGAAGACATGGTTAATCTATACCTTGAAAATATTTTGATATCTCGCCAATGTGCACATGTCAAAAGGGAGATTTTACTTAACACAGCCAAGGAATGTGATTGTATTTTCATACAGTGCGCATGTGGAACTCCATTCCTGGTGAGATTAGATCAGCCCC